GAGGTGATATTTGAGCTGAGGCCTGAGTGCTGAGGAGCCAGCCACAGGATAACATGAGTGATGGATATTCTTTTTTTTTTTTTTTTTGAGAAAGAATCTCACTATATCACCGTTGGTAGAGTGCCATGTGCCATGGTGTCACAGCTCACAGCAACCATGGTGTCACAACTCACAGCAACCGCTAACTCTTGGACTTAAGTGAATCTCTTCCTTAGCCTCCCAAGTAGCTGGGACTATAGGCGCCCACCACATGCCTGGCTATTTTTTTGTTGTAGTTGTCATTGTTGTTTGGCAGGCCTGGGCTCGGTTTGAACCCTCCAGTCCCAGTGTATGTGGCCGGCATCCTAACCACTGTGCTACAGGCACTGAGCCAGTGATAGGTATTCTTGGCAGAGGGAACAGCAAGGGAAAAGGCCTCAGGACAGGACAGAAATTGGGCCAGTGCGTCTGAAGTGAAGTGAACAAGTCTTAGAGTAGTAAAACAAGATCTAGGACACCGGTTAGGGAGATCACAGACAGAGGGGCTGCCAACCCTGACACTCACTGGAATTGTCTGGGGTGCTTTTAAAAATACCAGGGTTTTATTGCTTCTTGGCCTTTTAGCTAAGATCAAGTGTAAACATACCAGGGTTTAGATTCTGAAGACCTCTGGTGTATGGGACCCATGCATTGATTTTTTTGTTTCTTTTTTGCCTTGGTGGCAAGCCTCAGTCATGAGGCCTTGTAGTCCAGAGCAGGAAATCTGGACTTTATTCCAACGGCACTAGGAAGCCACTGGAGTACATTAAACGGAGGGAGTTTGGGATCAGCTCAAAGAACGCCTTTTACAAGGAGCTTCACGTGAGTCCCTGGGCTTTTGGGCCTCCTCTGTGCACACTCAGCACGGGTGCCCTTCCAGTGTTGGCCTCACAAAACTGATCTTTCAAGCCTTGTTTCGATGTCTCCTGTTACCGGCTTAGTAGCCTCTCAGCCCCCAGCCCAGATGCAGACAGGTCCGCTGACCTTGGGAAGGTCAGGGATACTTGGAAAACAGAACAAAATGGCAGCAGGGGAGGAGCAATGCCTTTAGCAAGAGAAAGGGGTTCAAGGAAGCAGGGTTGGAGGGCAGAGCGTGCCAGGCCCGACTGGTCGGACTTAGGCAACCTTCTTCAGTCTTCCGTTGGCTATGGCGGGGCTGCAGTGGAGGGAAGGGGCACACTTTCTCCGGAGGGGGAGTTTTTGTGAACCTCTCTCCACTAGCCTTAAATATTGGAACCCCTCTGGGTGGCGCTGTGAAGCGAGAGCTGCATCCTGGACCGGGAGCCCACAGCCGCTACTGCACTTGGGTGGACTGCGGACGCGGTTTCCTCCGTTTGGGGCTCCGCGGCCACACTTCCCAGGTCCCAGGAAGAAAGCATCCCCTTCCACCGAGAATCAAGAATCGGGAAGCAACTAACAGAAACACTGAGGCTCGGGGCGGGGCCACGGGTGAAACTAGCCAATCGCCGGTCAGGGAGATGGCCCTGGTAGCTGCTAGGCTCTGCCGCGACGCTCCGCCCACCCCTAGTTCTGCGGCAGGAGCTACCGGCCTTCCAGCGCACCTGAGCAGACCTCAGCAGCCACTCCTATGGCGATGGCGCACAGCCTGAGCCGTCGAGGCCGTGCTCCCCTTGAGCTACCTGGAAGACGCTCGGGCCGGGCAGTACCCTAATAGCTCTGACGGTAACAGGTATAAGAACACAGCCGGCATGGGGTCCCCGCAGACTCGACCAACGAGAGCAGGTGGCCGCACGCCGGGGCGCTGGCGCTGAGGGCGCTGATTGCGAGCGCCCTGTGCTCTCTGCAAGTCTGGTGGAGGAGGTGCTGGGTCCAGTCCCGGTGCAGTCCCAGCAGCAGCGCCTCCTCTCGCTGCCCTCCTCAACCGGGCAGCCGCGGATCTCTAGTTCGTGCTGATGCTGCCCTTCTAAGCGGTAGGCACGGTGCGCGACTTCAATTCACCCTTTGGGGAAGCCATGTGCAAGGTGGTGCTCACCGTGCTCGACAGGTACACCAACAGCTTCCTTCTCGGTGGCACGAACATGGTGCGCACTCGCACTCGCGCGGGCGCGCTGCACCTGAGCGGTCTGGAAGCACTGCCGCACAGCCGCGGGTGCTGTCTACTCCCTGTTTGCAGCGACAGCTGGCGTGGGGGCCGAGCGCTTGCACCTGCTGCACTTCCCCGACGGCGCTCCCAACTTGGGCGGCGCTCTACCACTAGCCGAAGGTCACCCTGGCCTTCGTGCTGCCGCTGACCATGCTGTGCACCTGCCCGCTGCTGCTGCGCTTCCTGCAACTGCAGCGGACACACTGGCCATCGGGCGTCGGGGTGCGACCGAGTTACTGCGTCACCCGCGCTTTGGCTTGCATGCTGCTGGCCTTCGAGCTCTGATGCTTGGCCAAACAAGCGCTAACGCTCTGGGGGTCCTGATCAAACCGAATGCCATGCCTGGGACAGTGCTTCTTTCCTGGTTCAAGGCTACCTCTTCCTGATCTTTGCCTCGCACACCCCAACAGCTGCCTGGCCCGCTGCTTTACTGCTTGCTGCCACGATTTCCCGCGATTTCCGCCAGGGCCTGAGAGCTGTGCGCCCCATGGAGCTCTGAGCTGGTGCACTTTCCCAGTAAGTTTCAACTGTCTCTGTGTCAGTACCAAGGGCACGGGCAGATTGGGCAATCGGGCTTGGGATAATGACATCAGAAAGCAGTGTCTGATTTCAGGACCAGTGTTCCGGTATCAGAGGGGCAGGGTTGGTCAGTTGGTGGAAATTACTTAAGACTGAGAGTGCCACTAACCTTCTGTGTAACCCATCCTTCCTGGCCTCAGTTTCCCCATTGGTACAAAGAGTGCTGCAGATTATATGAACCCCTGGAACCCTGCTAGGTCTAGCACTTTGATTGTCCCTGCTAGGTCTAGCACTTTACTCTGCAAACAATGTAAGCTCCATGCACCCTTTCCAAACCAATTTTTCTGCCACCTGTATACTCCCCAGCACTTATTTCTTTGGGGCAGGAAAGATTAGTGAATTACTTGTAATTATCCTACAATTTGAAAAGGGAAAAACATAAATGTGAATCACCTGATAATTTTATTATCTACTTTAGGCTACAAATATAATTAAAGTGGTTTTGTTTATTTTTGTTTATGAATTTTTTTGAGTGATACTTCTTGAAGCAATCTCCGGGGTGAAGTCCAGGCTTCTTTTGCATGTCTCACAGTAGAAAATAGTTTCTCTCCATCCACTGTTCTCATTTCTTCTGCTGCAAACCAGGCAATCGTTGTTGATTTTTTTTAAATTTTGCATTATAAAGTGCATCTTCCCATTTAGCCTTTCCCTTCTGTTCCTTACATTGCTCACAAGCTGAGTGATGAGCTTTCTCCTGTAAGAAAGGTGTGTGCACTTCTCCACTCTCCTTCTTCTTCTCTCTCTCTTTTTTTTTTGCAGTTTTTGGCTGGGGCTGAGTTTGAACCTGCCACCTCCAGCATATGGGGCTGGTACCCTACTCCTTTGAGCCACAGGCACTGCCCTTTTTTTTTTTTTAATCACAGCTGTATACATTAATGCAACCATGGGGTACAATGTGCTGGCTTTATATACCATTTGAAATATTTTCATCAAACTGGTTAACATAGCCTTCACCACATCCACTCTCCTTCTTATCTAAGGAGTAGGTAAGGATGTAGTTGTTCACAATTGCAACTTCCATCAGCCAGAAGAATAATTTGTTTCCATTATTTGTAGGACCTCCTTGTAAATCCATAACATCCACAGTCTGATAAGCTCTGCCCATTCTTTCCATAAACTTTGTGATTCTAAAATAACTGTTTTTCAAATTGAACAGGCTGTTTCTTCCTATAACCAGCAATGAACTGGCCAAAGAATGTACTCAGCATTGTCACTAACCTCTTATCATGGAATGAGAGGCACATCAACAAATGCAACAACAAAAACATGTGTCAGGACATCTTCTGAATTGGAGTGGAACAGGGAAATCAAAGGTCAGACAAGGTCTGACATAAGCTCAGAAAATATACCATTAAAAGACTTATTCAGCGGGTACTTTGTCTCCTTTTTTTTTCTTTTCAGAGTTTCACTTTGTTACCCTCCGCAGAGTGCAGTGGCATCATAGTTCACAACAACCTGAAACTCCTGGACTCAAGAGAGCTTCTTGTCTCAGCCTTCCAAATAGCAGGGACTACGGCACCTGCCACAGTGCCCAGCTACTTTTTAGAGACGGAGTCTTGCTCTTGCTCTTGCTCTTGCTCAGGCTGGTCTCAAACTCCTGAGCTCAGGCAATCGACCTGCCTTGGCCTCCCAGAGTGCTAGGATTATGGGTATAAGCCACCATGCCAGGTGCTTTTTCCCATTTATTTTTACAAGGGAACTACAAGGGAGAGGGGTCTGGGCCATTTTTGGAAACCTAGAGTGGGAGAACATCAAGCTCAGAGACAGCCCTTCATGGCTGAAGATTTCTGAGCTTTGGGCTTGGTGCCTGTGGCTCAAGTGGCTAAGGCGCCAGCCACATACACCTAAGGTGGTGGGTTCAAATCCAGCCTGGGCCTGCCAAACAACGATGGCTGCAACCAAAAAAAATAGCCAGGCATTGTGGCAGGCGCCTGTGGTCCCAGCTGCTTGGGAGGCTGAGGCAGGAGACTCGCTTGAGCCCAGGAGTTGGAGGTTGCTGTGAGCTGTGATGCCACAGCACTCTACCCAGGGGGACAGCTTGAGGCTCTGCCTCAAAAAAAAAAAAAAAGATTTCTGAGCTTTTATCATCAAGACCCGCTTGCTACATGTCCTCTCCAGACCCTGAGTAGCACTGATTCAATGGTGTGCTGACTCTGAGAGTGCTGGATGTGACATGAAAAGGGGCTTCAGTGGCAGGGCCCCTGTAGCTCTGTGGGTAGGGCACCACCAGTTACACGGGGGCTGGCAGGTTCAAACCCAGCTGGGTCTGCTGAAAAACAATGACAACTATAACCAAAAAATGGACAGCAGCCAGGCCCCTGACCCCGACTCCCGGGGCGCTCCGAAGCTGGGTGGCTGGACTACTGGGAGCAAGCAATTGACAGCAGCCTGCAGGAGGCAACTCGAAAGATCTGGGCTGCTGAATAATAAGGGATCGCTGCTGGCCTACTCAGGTTATGGGGACACTGACGCACAGGTCACCGCAGCCATCGCCAGTAACATCTATGCTGCCTACGACAGGAATGGGAACCAAGCGTTTAATGAAGACAATCTCAAATTCATCCTCATGGACTGCATGGAGGGCCGTGTAGCCATCACTGGAGTGGCCAACCTTCTGCTGTGTATGTATGCCAAGGAGACCGTGGGCTTCGGAATGCTCAAGGCCAAGGCCCAGGCCTTGGTGCAGTACCTGGAGGAGCCCCTCACCCAAGTAGCAGCATCTTGATGGGCATTAGTGAAAGCTGGGGTCAGAAGAGAGAGAACCATTTGGAGGGGCAGAGCCCCCTGGGAAAATCTTCTTGGACTATGAAGGGAGGGTAGGACTTTATTTTTTCCAAGAATAAACTTCAACTCCTAAAAAAATAATAATAATAACCAAAAAATAGCCAGGCATTGTGGTGGGCACCTGTGTCCCAGCTACTTGAGTGGCTGAGGCAAGAGAATCACTTAAGCCCAATAGTTTCAGGTTGCTTTGAGCTATGATGCTACAGCACTTTACCAAGGGTGACAAAGTGAGACTCTTGTGTCCAAACAAAAAATAATAATAAACAAAATAAAATCAATTTAGAATATAGAAGATTTCATTGACACACAATATACTTAATCAAATGGATAAGTATGAAATCTTGCACGCAACAGTTAGAGAATATACATTCTTTCCAAGTATTCACAGAAAACTTTTAACAAATTGACCATGAACTAACCACAAATGACTTTCAACAAAAACTAACAAACCCTTATTGTAGAAACTTTAAATCTGCAATCCAAATCCAATTAAGTTGTAACTCAATAATAACAGTGAAACAAATGTTTGAAAAAAAAGCTTCCAAATAATGCAAAAACGAATCATAATGGAAAGTAGAAAACATTCAAAATTGAATAATAATGAAAACATTAATTAGTAACATTTAATGAGCTTTGCGTGAGTCAGGCCTATGCTACATGCCCGGTTATTACTACATCCCCATTTTCCAGTAAGAAAAAAAGAGGCATGGAGCAATTGAGTAAATTGTGCAAGGCTCCACTGTAGCTAACTGGAAGAGCTGAAATTTAATCTCAGGCAGTCTGGTCTAAAGTTCAAGATCATAACTACTTGTCAAAACCCATGGCATGCAGCTAATATGTTCTTGGGACCGGTGGTATGGCCTTTACTTCTTGTATAAAAAGGAAATGACTTGGGTGGTGCCTGTGGCTCAGTGAGTGGGGCGCCAGCCCTGTAGGCCCCGGCCAAACTGCAAACAAAAAATACTGGGCGTTGTGGTGGGCACCTGTAGTCCCAGCTACTCAGGAGGCTGAGGCAAGAGAATCACCTGAGCCCAGGACCTGGAGGTTGCTTTGGGCTGTAATGCCACAGCACTCTACTAAGAGCAACAAGGTGAAACTCTGTATCCAAAAAAAAAAAAAAAGAAAGAAAAGAAAAGACAAAGTGACTTGTAGGCCTCCCCTGCACTTGGCAATTAGATTCTAACTTCTCACTATCACACACTGCCCTTCCAGCTTCAGCTGCTGTATTACAGCAGCCTTTGGAGCTCTACCTCCCACATTACCCACAGCAGCACTTGGCCCTTCCCACCTCTCATGCTGCACCCCACAATTCCCTCTCAATCACACCATTTCCTGTTGAAATCCAGCCTCTAGGTTCGGCGCCTATGGCTCAGCCGGCTGGGGCGCCAGCCACGTACACCTAGGGTGGCGGGTTCGAATCCCCAGCCCGGACCCGCCAAGCAACAATGACGGCTGCAACCAAAAAAAATAGCCGGGCGCTGTGGCGGGCGCCTGTGGTCCCAGCTACTTGGGAGGCGGAGGCAGGAGACTCGCTTGAGCCCGGGAGTTGGAGGTTGCTGTGAGCTGTGATGCCACGGCACTCTACCCAGGGGGACAGCTTGAGGCTCTGTCTCAAAAAAAAAAAAAAAAAAAAAAAGAAATCCAGCCTCTATCAAGATTCAGCTCACAGGGCCCCTTTTCTCCAGGCCTTCATACCCTCCTCAGGCACTCCTCTGGGCCACTAACTGTGAAACTGATCTTGCCACTTAAAGAAAAGGCTTAAATCCTTCTCTAGGTCCCCTCCTTGCAAGAAGACCAGGCCCAACAAAGAGAAAGAGCACCCAAACACCACGTTTACAAGAGGAAGGGCTTTATTCACCAGCCAAGAGCTTATGGCATAGAAGAATTCCAAATGGCCGTGCTCCCAGACTGGCTTCGTCTTTCCCTCTTTATTTCCAGTCCAAAAGTTCCAACCCATAGGTACCAGTTTCATTGGCCAGCTTGAATCAAGTGGGAGATACTGTTCCAGCCCCCACAGAACTACAGGATTTCACAGAAGTGGAAATTTCCAAGTTCTAGGAAGTTAAGTTTACAAATTCCCAAGAGCTGAGTCACCATGGAGAGGACCTTGTGGGTGTCTCCTTGCCGTCTCCTTGAGAAGACCTGTTCTCCTAGACCTCACCCTTCTCGGGTATCCTCTCTGATCCTCTGCCTGGCAATGCTGCCCCAAACTTCTGCACTGAAGGGCTACACTAAAGGGCTCTGCGTTCAGTTGTGATTGAAGTGTTCCTTAAAATCTTGAGTTTAATTCATCCCGTTAGTTGTCTACTCCATACTATCTCCATGTTTGTTTTACAATAAAGACAATGACCTCCCCCCTCCTCAAGTAATCTACACTTTTGAAAGATGATGTTCCAAATATACTTGTATTCTGCATAGGGCTGGGGGTCCCCCATTTCAGAAGCATGAACTTTGAAAAGCAAGATCAACCCCAGAATCCAGCATAGCCTCTGTATGGCCCCAGGCTCCCTCTGTAGTCTTCTCTGGCTGGTTCCCTCCTGCCAACCCTGAAGGAGCCCACTCTGGATGCTCCCTCTTCTGGGGCACCAGCCCTGCCCTGCAAGGTGGGAGAATTTCCTGTATTCCCATTGCACACTGATTCTCCCGCACTGGGCTGTTGGCTTTGGATTCTCAGCATCCTGAGTCTGCACCACTTTTCCCTTTCCTGCCCTTTTGCCTCTCAAACCACTTTTGCTACATCTTTCAAAGCCCTTAGTGGGAGTGCTCAACAGGCAGAGGATTGGACGTGCCTAAAAAAAGGTTTCAGGCCCCAGCCCTTTGTATCTTAAGTTATGCAAGCTAGCCACTTGTTTAGGCCTCCTCTACATCATAGGGGCCCTGAGTCTGCCACAGGATGCGCCAGGGTTCAATTCCTCCTGGATATGGCCCCCTTCCTGGGCCAAGCAGGAGCTTCTTGAATCCAGGGACCTCCCTACCCTTGTCTGTACAACTCCAGGGTGACAACCACTGGCCTAAGAGTGCATGGTGGAAGATTTCTTACTGAAATGGAAATGTGTGTGGCCTTGACTCTTGACTGTTCCATTGCAAGTTTCTCTGCTCTTAACTCTTTGATTTTTTTTTTCACTATGTTGCCCTAGGTAGAGTACCGTGGAGTCACAGCTCATAGCAACCTCAAACTCTTGGGCTTAAGCGATTCTCTTGTAGTTGTCATTGTTGTTTAGCAGGCCTGGGCCAGCCTCAAACCCATCAGCCTCGATGTACGTGGCTGGTGCCCTACTCACTGAGCTATGACGCCGAGCCTCTTGACTCTGATTAAATGTCAAGTAAAGGGGAATCTGTAAGCTGATTTTTCATTCCCTCAGGGTGCAGTGGGGCTCCATTTTAAATGCCCTTCTGCTATGGTTAGGATGAATATTCCATACCTAATTGATATATTTTGTGAATGGAAAAAGTAAGCCTGGGGTGGGGTCAGACTTCTGCAGGCATCCAGTTATCACTGGGGCTTCTCGGTACCGCCCTGGGTGGAAGGGCATAGCAACATAGGCAAGGGGCCAAAAAAATGCTATCAACTAGCAAAATATAGGTTCATAACTGCAGAATGTATAAAGTAGAAGCACCCTCAGAGGTCCTAGCCAATGCCCCTGTCTTAAAGATGGGAAAATTGAAATCCAGGGAGGGCGGCCACTGTCCCAAGACAGGCCAGGAGCTGGTGTCACAACTTGCCCCTTGTAGCCTGATAGGGTACCAGGCCACCCAGTCAGAGGGAGACCAACCATCCAGTTTGCCTGGGACCAAGGGGATTCCCAGCACTTAGGACTTTCAGTGCTAAACCTGAGACTGTGCTAGGCAAAGCTGGGTACCCTACCCTGTGGGCCATGGTCTTTCTCTCCTCCCTGGCTATAAAACCTTCCAGATAAATTCTAGAGGAAAAAAAAAAAAGAAGTAGAGCAATCTGAAGCCCAGGCTATCACTTAGACCCTCCAGGACTGACAGCCCAGCCTGGTAATAAGTTGGGCTTGGGGGGCCCATGCAGCAAGGGCTCTAATGCCACCCAGCCCTTGCCTTCTGGGCACATCCCCTGTGTCTCCAGCTTGGCCTGTCTCTGCTGCATTTGTACAAAAGACAGAATTTTAAAAATCTCTCTTGGGGCTGTTTAACTTTGACCTCTATAAACATTTCTTTTGATAAATGGCAGCATCCGTGCAGCATGTATTTTTAGTCATTCTGTTTAGCAATGTGCTGGCATGCTTCTCTGTTGTTTATGGTTTAGGGAGAGCCAGCCAGCTCTGTCCCAGACTCTCTGTGTAATCTTGAACAAGTTCCTCCATCCTTCTGAGTCCTGGTCTCCCCATGTATGAAGTGAGAAATGCTGGTCTCTGCCTTGTCAAGTTGCTGTGAGAAGTAAACAACTGGAAATTGCCTGGCACATGGTGAGCATACAATACAAGGTAACCTTTGTTATTTCGGGTCCCTGGTGCCTCTGGGTCCAGTTGGTCCCCTCTCCAGGGTATGGAGAAGTTAGTGAAGACACTGGGGTTCTACATGGATGGATATTTAAGATTTCTTCTCCAGAACTCAAGTTTGCTGCTGAATATTTATTAGTTTCCACATACAGGCTTTTCACCAGAGCCTCTTTCTCCTTAAAATTCTAGAACACAGCTAAAGTTCTACCAGAGGCTCATGCCTTCTGTATGTGGAGCTGCAACAGTTCAACAGTAGGGGAGCTAAATGGAGATGAAGCAGATGGCTGGGAACAGGGCTGGTGGGCATGGTACTGGCTGGGGCATCAAGAGATGGGACCCTGTCTCACATCTGACCCTCATTTCTGTGATGTAAGCAAGGCACTTTCCTTCTGGAGCCTCTGGTTTTCCCTCTGTGAGATACGTGGATCAGGGTCACTGTCTCTAAGGCTCTATCTAGGTCTTAACTGTTTAAGCCTGGGTTCTTACATCTGGCCTTGTGCTAGATATACAGCAGACATTAATCAATGTGGTATTTAGCTTGGAACCCAGCAGTCTCTTCTGAAGAAGGAAGATGGCACTTGACAGGCTGGAGCAGACAGAGCTAAAAG